ACCTGATTCTTAAGATTTTCCTCAATCTTGGTCAGTTCTTTGATCTTTATATGACATCTCTCTAATTGTTCTTGAAGATCAAGATTAAGCTTTTTAGCTTTGGACTTGCCATTCAGGGCATTGTAAAGGTCAACCATCAACGTATCTAGTGCATAGAAGAAGAAGAAGAAGAAGAAGAAGAAGAAGAAGAGGGTTCATTCAGGGAACATATCTGAGCATAGGTTGATGACGAGGGATCACTGAAGGTTGATATCTCTGATGGTTCATCTTTGACATCATTGGCCATTAGACAGAGGTAGGCCATGTCTTCGTCATCAGAGGATGATTCTTCAGAAAAATCAGCCCAGTCATACTCTTTAGCGACAAGACATTGGCCTTTATGCTGAAGATTCTTCATTTTCTTGTACTTATCCTTTAGTTTCAGGTACTTGTCCTTTTGAGGCCTAAAGAAGGATGAGAGGTTGGAAGATGGTGTCACAGTTTTCTTCGACCTACATTCACTGGAAAAGTGACCTTTGTGTTGACAGTTGTAGCAGCTCGCTGAAGCCTTGTCAATGGGGTTTGACTTTGGATTTTCAGTTAAGGTCAGCAAAGGAGATCTGGGATAGTTACTTTTTCTGGAGAACCTCCTAAAGGAGTTAGTTAGAAGGGCTAGTGACTCATCAAACTCTGAAAGTTCAGCGTCTGACAAGCCCTCGGAGTTAGAAGGATCTAACTCAGTGATAGACATAGAGGAAATAGAATGAATAGAAGAAATAGAAGGATCAGCTGAAGGATATCAGAGATCAAAGATAACGAACAGCTTTTCATTTCCCTAGAGTCTTTAAGAAGATTTTTATTCGACTGGCGAAATTGCTCATGATTAAGCAATATCCCATAAAGAGAACTGAGAGAAAAGGAGGACATGTCCTTAGATATCTTGAGACACATGGTATACTGATCCCATGCTTTTGGCAAACATTCAAGGAAGTTTGTCAGTGTCTTTGAGTTGGAATATTCTCTTTCAATTGTCCTCAAATCAATAAGAATACAATTAAATCGTTGATGTAAACCACAAAGAAAACTTTCATATTGTCTTACTAAATTAATCTTTCTTGATTCTTGTACTTTATTAGTACCTTCATATTGAACACATAAAGTGTCCCACATGGATTTCGAGGTTTTGAGCTTCATTACTGAGTGATAGACCTCATCAGGAAGATCCATGACTATTATAGACCTCACATGAGTGTCTAAAGCCATCTTCTTCTTGTCTTCATCACTCCATTGATGAGACAGCTTAGGAATCTGGCGTTCAGAAATTACGGCAGTCATAGCAGTTGCAGGAACTGCTTTAGAGATTACGAATGGAACATAAGGTTTATTCTCAATGTAGTATGGGATCTCATGATCCATACCTTCCAAAAATAGAGATATCCGGTTCTTCAAGAGACTGAAGTTGTCTTTGATAAACCGGGAAGGTTTGGCAAGAGAGCCATTATCGTGAAAGCTGGTGCTAGTGTTGTACAGCCATTTTGAAAGGAATAAATTATCTAGAGAAGAAAAGATAATTAAACACCAATAAAACAACAATACAACACAAAAAACAAACACTACTCTGATACCACTTGTTGGTCCTAGTCGGATCTACAAGAGTTTATAGGTAACGGTTTGTAGAAAGGGGGAATGAATACAAACACAGTAACTTTCACTTTTAAAAATTATATACTGATAAAGAAGATCAATACAAATTTTACTGATTGTTTGCGGAAGAGATAGGATACATAACCTATCTAAACAATCTAAGATACACACAAAATACAGATAGCAATAAGAAAAGATTTGCTATAAGAAACAAGGTAAAAATAAATGTGCTTTTCACTTGTTAAAGTGGGTCTTTCTCTTTAGACAGAGAGTAGAGAGAAATAACTTCTTGGGTAAGTTCTTACTGAGGAAGATGATAATTGAGAGGAGAACCACTAAGCTATTTATACCCATTGCATTAAATGCATTTCAGAAGCTACAGGGCACGTGACAAGCTTTAAGAGGAAAGCTTGTCCTTTGCTACAATATATAGTCCATTTAGCTGTATATGAGTAATGCTCTTTCATAAAGTAGGTAAGCACGTTTAGAGTCAAAGGAGTGGCTTTGTACTGTACTATACTTAGAAAGGTATAGGTTTGTTCTTTGTGTGTAAAGGATAAGACAAAAACAATCTTTCTCAACAAGATTCATTTGATCGCAGAACATTAGAATGACGCTGAAATGTCTCATCAGTGTTCGTTGAATCTTGCACAGACTTCACACATTTGTAGACGATATTGTTATCACCGAACATCACTTCAGATCACGAACTTGCTGGTCTCTAATCTTCAGCTTCTGTCTTTGACATCACTGAAGTATATGTGGTGTAAGTTTTGTCTTCTAGAAGTATATTGGTCTCTGAATGAATTACAATACATGTTCAGCAATCACTGAACAGACTCAGTGAAGATCGCTGAAACTGAATAACAAAAATAATACATTTCGATAGAAAAGGATCATCATCAAATTATTGAAAGAGATAATCAACATATGTGGCCCAACTCATAAAGAGTGACTGGAATAGCTCTCGACTTTGGTTTGGTTGATTGCTTATAACACTATAATCGCCAACATACAGTCTAAGGGCTTGTAGTGAAACTTCCACACTAATAACTATAAAATTTCTCACATCGTTGTTGTCAAATAACTTGACAAAACCACTAAACAACAGAGATTTGTACATTAATACAAAACCAGCTTTGTGAATCCGGTAAGTTTAATACTCTCGCTAAATAACTAATCAAATCAAAATCTATTACATGCATCTGCAACAACACTACAACTTTCTTGAGTATATAATCTAATACTCTGTTAACTACCTGTCATGAACCTCTACTACAAGCACATATTGAACTTTGTCAATTATTGTTGCCATTTCTTCTTGAGAGAGGGTTTCTCAATTTTTATGTGAAGTAATGAGAGGTAAAATATGATTAAATGGCTAAAATGGAAACCGATTCTCATTTATTGCTACAATAAGAAAAATTAGTAGTCAAATAGGTCAAAAAAGGTGTCCAGTCACATCAATGTGGGCCCTTTCACACCAGGCATACGAATCACACCCAGCGATGAAACTACGTCGACAGTTCCATGCATAATGTCAACTTCAATTTTTTGAGGCCCACATGCATTTTTGTTGGTTTGTTCTCTTTTTATGAAATAAGTGACTATGGAAGAGTCATTTTTAAAGGAAAAAAATTATTTTTAGGTTAAGTTTTTGTAATTCTTTAAAAAATGCTAGTTAAGTCAATAGCCTTTAAATATTAATGTCATAGAACACCATTTGTTATGCTGAATAAGTTTTTTCATAAGTTTATAATCGACCCGACTTTAATAATTATTAAAATCAAACCACAAATAAAAAAGTTAGGTGACGTTTGGTTCGCAGAATGTTTTTGGATGAAATGAAATCGATTAAAATAATTTTACTTTGAAGGAATTGGAATGAAATGTTGTCAGGTTACCACATGTTTGGTTGGCAGACATTAGAATGAAATATGTTAAGAAAATTGGAATTCATCTGTTTGGTTCACAGAATGTAGTTTTGGAATTGGAACGAAATATTGGTAAATGACCAAAATGCCTTTTTTTTTAAATTTTAATTTTTAGTACTAAAAATACTTAATAAAACAATTATTTAATATGTAAAACAGTATAAAATACACAACCCAAATATAACTATAAGCCAAACAACGTTACTAAATCAATGGTGGTCGACGGTGGTTCAGATCGGTAGTGGTCCGTAGTGGTTCAAATGGCGATGGTCGACCGTGGTTCAAATCGATAGTGGTCCGCAGTGGTTCAGATGGAGGTGTTCAGCGTGGTTCAGATCGATGATGTCATCGATGGTTCAAATCGGTGGTTGTTCAAATCGTTGGTGGTCGACGGTGTTCGGCGGTGATTCATATCGGAGGTAGTTGCTGGTGGTCGACAGTGCTTCAGATTGGTGGTGATCCATGGTGCTTCAGGTGGCGATGGTCGGATGTGGTTCAGACCGATGGTGATTTAGATTGGGAGTGGTTCAGATTGGCGATGAATCAGATCGATGATGGTCAGCGGTGGTTCAGATCAATGGTGGCCGACGGTGATTCATATCGGTAGTAGTTGATGGTGATTCAGATCGATGGTGGTGCGTGGTGGTTAAGTTGACGATGGTCGATAGTGGATCGGATTGGTGGTGGTCCATGGTGGTTCAGATGGCGATGATCGACGGTGGAGCAGATTGGTGGTGAATCAGATTGGTGGTGGTCGACGGTGATAGTTGACGGGTGCTCGGCGGTGAATTAGATCGGCGATGATCATATTGAGTTTTATGAGATTAGAGTATACTAGGTTAAATGCATATTTGATATTATGAAAATAGAGAATTTCATTTCATCAAAATACCATGTAGTTGTTAAAAAATGTTAAATTCTTTTATTTGTGAAATTTATAGGAGTTTGAAGATTATTTTATGAAAAAAGAATAAAACGAGATAATAAAATTTGGTTAATAAAATTCAACACTCCAATTACATCAAATTCATTCGCGAACCGCACGCACACTTGGGGGCCGTTTACTAAATGCTTACTTGGTAAGTGTTTACCAGATAAATTTCCTCATTGGATGAATATGACAAGGGTAAAAATCTTACCGAGTAAGAGCGATAAGAAGGATAAAGAGTCTTACCCTATAAATAAAGATGACGACTCTTATCCAGATAAGTACTTACCCAATAAATTATTACATTCAATACGTTTTAATATACTAAAATCTCATACATTAAATTAAATTATAATGTTAAGTAAGTAGTATGACTAACCATTTATTGGATAAACATTTGAATAAACACCCCTTTTTGATCGAATAACTCATGTATCACTCAACATATTCTCAAACGGAGGTCACTCCCTAGTCCCCACTCCCATCCCCCCTCCTACCCCCATCCCCACAGTCTCACTCCCTCTCGCTCTCAGAATACTTAGACATGGCGGCGCAAAGCATTCCTTTCTCTTAGGCTTTTGCCCTTTTCACCGCCACAACCGCTTTCTTCATCTCCATTTCTACTGAATCAAGCTTGCTGCTCTCTATCTATATACATGGTGATGGCTGACAACGAGGGAAAAGATAACCCTGACAATCACAAAGATACTCCTGCTCCTGCTCCATCGCCTATGAAATCACCGTGGAAGATAACTTCTCCACCAACACCACCACCACCACCACCACCACCACCACCGGCTGTGGTTGATGTGCCAGTTGAGACCGCTAATGCTGATTCCAATGCTTGGCCGGCGCTCTCTTTGTTAAAGCCCCCTTCGGCTGCCGATGCAGCTACTACTGCTACTACTACCCCTGCTTCTGCAATTCCTTCTAAACAAAACCAGGTCAATGATGAATTGATGATGAATTTCCTTTGTTATTTTTTTAAATTCAAAATTTAAAGGTTATTTTGAATTCCTAATCTACTTGGAAATGGATTTTGTAATGATTACAAAACTGTATGTTCCGCTGGCGTGTTCTTGTGTTAATCCTTTCTTTGAGCTTATCATTGCACAATTTGTCTTTTATCAACAAGGTGAAAGAAGTGTTATTGACAAGAGATGAAACGCTCCCCTAAAACAAGAAATAAACACCTTCCAGCAAATGGTGGAAGTTGAAATCTTGTAGAGTTTCTGAAATTTGATTCTTAAGATATCAAAGCTAAGGGTCATATGATGAGTGGCCATGACAATAAAGTGGGTCAACCCTTTTTTTTTTCTTTTCTGCAAGTCATTTTCAGATGGAAATGGACCAATTTAGAAACCTCCATTATAGGAGGAAACACTTTTCTCGTTTACATAAGAACAAACTTAATATAAAGAATGAAGTGATAAAAGAATTACTAAGCATGCGATGCATGCTTCTCGTGGTGAGATCTTTGCTAACCATTAAGACATGGAGAAACATCTTAAAATTTAAATCTTATAGCAAGCCAGACTAAAGCATTGTCTATGAAGTACAATTTTGGTGGTGTTGGGAAAAGTAATAATAGGATTAGGATGAGAGCAGAGTGGATGAAGTAGCTAGTGGACATCATGGGTCTTATGTGATTGAAAATTTGTTGGAAACTCAAGGCTATGCACTATGCGGTAAAATGGCCACCAAAATGAACAATGTACATGAGATAAATGAAAGATATTTGAGTGCTGAGATCAATGTCTGACCATAGGATTTGAAGCTAGGATATTTGGGGAAATCTTGTGATGACAGTGCGTGGGGAGAAGTGCCCTTATACCGGGCCTGCCACCCGCTCTGAAGAATTTAGGTAACAACGCTTGAGATGATTTAGTCAATGGTAATGTAGACATTAGGATGCAGTAGTAGGAAAAAAGAAGACTTTAAGAAGAAATTTATCCATTTCCTAATGGTATGTTGGTGCAAATGATGAAGAAGTATTAGCGGTGCTTCATATTCATGAGACTTCCAATAATGTTATAAGTATCTTAAATTTTCATATTGTATATCTCTAAATTCGTGATTTCATATTCTTGTTTTTATATAACAACATTGCTCTACAAGAAACACTTCTATTTTAATTACTAAATATTCATAAATTGATGACAAGCAAATCAATTTCTAGAATTTAAATCTCAAAGAATTACTAAGCAATGATGAATATTGATTTTGAGGAATGCTTCATTTTATCGCATAGTACAATATATGTGTGTATACATACAAAAAGCGAGAGAAAGATAGAGAGGGTGGTGGTGGTGGGAGGATGCTATTCATGTTTTTTGAGTCCTTTGAAAGGTTTATCTATAGAATTAATGATGCTAATAGAATATAGGATATCAACCAGAAAATACATATTCATTCTGCTCATAGTGATCAACCATTAGTGTATGCCATGAGAATGATGATGAATGGAGGAGTTCTTGGAGACAGAGGACTAGGGTAGCAAACTAGGTCTAGGACCTATAGTTAGCGTAGTTGGACTAAAGGGAGTTGGATAGGTTGGGGAGTGGGGTAGGGAGTTGGACTGCTTGGGAAAGGGGGGAGGTATAGGGCTGTTAGTTTGGGTTTGGATGTGTTTTTGCCTTACTTGCTCTATGTGAGTTTTGCTGGTATGTTCTCAAGGTACCTATTCATTACTTCTTCTTACTTACTTTTCTCGTGTTTCATTCAACATATGCTAATCTCTATTCCTACTACCTGTTTGATCACACTCTTGCACAAGCAGGGGGTCTTCGCAGAAACAACCGCTCTACTCTTTGGGATAGAGGTCATGTTTGTATATATCTCATCCCTGCATTCGGCTGGAATTTACTAGGTCTGTTTCGCTTGGTCTGAGGACATAATGAACTCCAAATACTAAGGCTACAAAAAGAACTTCCAAATTTAGATCGGGAACTTAGGATAGAGGGAGCTCGTAAACTTTTGGACAAGATTTTGCTTTTATTAGGACTGTTGGTTAGGATTTGCTCCTAATGGTGGACATTGAACTAAAGTGATTATTGAGGATGGGAGTTGGCTATCTAATTTGATGATTGGAGCACTTGTTTCTACAAGTGTTATATATACAATAAACATTCATATGTGTGTATATATATATATATATATATATATATATAGGTCGGTTCCATTGGGAACCTTAAATTCATTGAGAACCTGGGAACCAACTATTCATGATGAATAACACTGAATAATTATAAATATTAGTCACCATGAATATCTCATGAATATCATGCATTTTCATTATTTATGATTTAATTCATTTTTATGATTTAATTCATTTTTATGATGATGTTATGCATTTTTATCATAGATATCATGCATTTTATTATAATAATTTTCGTCATGAATATCTATGACGATGTTTATCATGAATAATTTTCATTATTCAGTGTTATTCATCATGAATAGTGGTTCCTCGTAGAGATGGAAATTTTACGCGCGGAGGGGGGAGGGGGAGGGATTTATTTTCATACCTGAAGCAAGGTCGAGGATCGCATTACCTGCCCCTAATCCGACCCGGATTATTTTTATTTTATTTTATTAAATATATGCATAGTCTCTCTCTCTATGTATAGGGAAAGGTTCATTTGAGAAGTAAAGAAGTGATCCTAGCCCTTCATCTCGTCAACATTTGCGGCTTTGATCGTGAAGCACCGGATAATTCCTCGCATGGGTATGCGGAAGACAGAGGGGTAGTTTCGTAACTTTACAAATAGGCGGCAAACAGGTTCATATGTGAACCCATGTGATACACATATGAACTATATGTTCATATGTGAACCTGTTAATTCGTTCACATGTGAACTATTTAACTGATTCATATATGAACCCACAGTTCATATGTAAATCACACGGGTTCATATGTGAATCAGTTAATTAGTTCATATGTGAATCACACGGATTCATATGTGAACTAGTTAAAATAGTTCATATGTGAATTACATGAGTTCACATACGAACATATAGTTCATATTTGGATCACATAGGTTCATATATGAACCCGTTTGCCGTCTATTTGTAAAAGTTACGAAACTGCCCTTTCTATTTTTCGCATAGCCGCAATTTTTGACAGGTCAAAGCCGTAATCATTGACCGGTCAAAGCCGCAATTATTACCCAGTCAAATTCGATCTTGACCGTATGAAGGGCTAGGATCACTTCTTTACTTAAATATTTACCACTTCTCAAAATAACCTTTGGCTCTATATATAGTTATAGGTTAATTTGAGAAGTGCTAAATATATGAGAAATAAAGAAGCGATCCTTGCCCTTCCACTAAAAAATTAACGATCAAGATTTGAGGGGCTAATTGTGCAACACCGGATAATTTGGTCGCATGGTAACAACTATGTGGAAGATAAAGGGGTAGTTTTGTAATTTTTAGAAATAGGCATCAACAAGATTATAATATGTCCATATATGAACCTGTGTGATTCACATATGAACTATATATGCATATGTGAACCCGTGTGATTCACGTATGAATTTTTTAACTGATTCACCATATGAACCCGTGTGATTCACATATGAACTATTTAACTGATTCACATATGAACCCGAATGATTGGCATATGAACTATTTTAAGTCATTCACATATGAACTATTTAATTGATTCACAGATTAATCTTAGATTCACTTATAGCATTATAGTTATACTATCAAAATCAACATCTTGCTTAAGATCATTTTCTGGATTCGGATTCATATTGAAAGAATAAGAGATTTGATCTAGAAAGAATTGAGAAATTTGATAATTTTGATAACCTAGAATTACGATATATGATCAAGAAAGAATCGAGAGAAATATCGATGATAGAATTGCCATAAAACCGGATTTGATTTGTTAGAATCATTAATGGGATCGAGATCACATATCGCCAACCACATTTTCGTTGCTTTCATTAACGATGACGGTGTATTGATCATATATCGCCTCCGGTTTTTGCTGCTTACCATATTACCCTTCCTTCAATTTTTTTATCATTTGATCCAAGGGATAGGATCACTTTCTCTATTTCTCATACATTTGACACTTCTCACTTGAACCTCTTCTTATATATATGTGACTATATGTATATATGTGTACATTTATTATTAAATGATAAAATATATATATGGTTTTCAATATTGGTAATTAATGTAGTGATGATTCATTATAATTTTGAAATACATTGTTTTATAGTTTTTACTAAATGGGTACCCAACGTGTACCTTGAACCTGCTGTAAGGGGCTTAAAAGGGGTTGGGGTCTGGTATTGGGATGCATTACCCACCCAATACCTGCCCTATTTCCATCCCTGTTCCTCGGGGTTCTCAATGAATTTGTGGTTCTCATTTGAATCCACCCTTATATGTACACCCAGTTATACACACCCATTATATTATACATACACATACTTGGATATTTACATATAGACATATAAATATATATACATACACACAAATATATAAATATATCTATGCTTTTACTGGGTCAAAATACACAATCACGATCATAACTATGATTTGAAATTGCGGTTATCGTGATCGTAAAGCGGTCCAAAATTTTGGTTCATATAATAATTAGAATTGTATATTATATATATGTATGCATAAATAACTTAACATGTATTCAATAAAAATATACACAATATGCATATTTATACATATACACCCATGTACATATATAAACACATACATATATGTGCATGTACATACACATAGTTATACATATATACATATGTATACATACAAACATAATACACATACATATGCTTATATATGTATGTATGTGTGTATATATGTAGATATTATATATATATATATATATATATATATATACTATATTATATTATAAAGCATTCAGGTAAAAGTCTTAAAAACAACTACTTAAGAATTATATATTGCTTAGTAATGCATTATACCTCAAATTTCAAGTTTACAAGTAATTAGGGACATGGTTTTAGAAATTGGTTGAGGCACGGCGAGGCGGCCCAAAAAAGTTTTTGAGGCGTCGCCTCTCACTTCTTGTTCTTTGCAGAGGTGAGGCGGTGGGTGAGGCTAGGGGTGTAAACAATACGAGACAACTCGTGAGCTACTCGAGATCGACTCGGTCAAAGCTCGGTCAACACTGGACTCGAACTCGAGCTTGACCCGACATATTAACGAGTCGAGTCAAGCTACCCAATACTTGACTCCAAAAGCTCGTGAGATACTCAATTATTTTATATATAATTAGTTTTAAAACATAATCAGTTTTTATGATAAAATTTGTAAAATATAAATAATAAAAATGTCTTATATTTTTAGATATTTAAACAAAATTATGCATTTTTAATTATAAAAATTAATCAATTTTTTTTATTAAAATCACAATTAAAAAAAAGACAGAAAAACTATAAAAAAGGTTAGTGAAATTGTCCCACGTTGGAAGAGAGATGGTAAAGGAAGCGAGAAAAGATGTTATAAAAAGAGAGGGAGGTGAATGGAATTTTCTAATTTTGTTTTTTTTGATGATGAAGTTTGAAGTTGATCCCTTTAGTTTTATAAAAACTAAGAGAACACCTTTAAGTTTTAAAATTTCATAAATTTCAATGAGTGAGCTTGGTTCGAGCTTGATTTGAGTTGGAGTTCAAGTTTGATTTGAGTTGCAGTTCGAGCTTGTTTCGAGCTTCATTCGAGTTCAAGTTCGAGTTCTAGCTTGAGAAATAGTTATCGAGTTCGAGTCGAGCTTTGATTTTTACTACTCGCGAGTTTTCGAGTCGAGTTCGAGCTTGGAAATTGGGTTTCGAGTTCAAGTACTATCGAGCTCGACTTGCATCATTTACACCCCTAGGTGAGGCTGTGAGGCGGTAAGGCGTGTGAGACACGCACAACTTCTTTAAAGATAAGAGTTGAAGTGTTTTTATACATTGTGTATAAGTCTTTGTTAGTGGTACAGGCCAGCAGGCGTACTCTCACAGTCCCACTTCCTATATTTAGTTGGTAGTGGCAGTGTGAATCGAGGAGTTTGTGTGTATATAAGTCTCCAACTTTGAAGAACATTGTATATCTTTCACAGTCCCACCCGTCGGCGGTAGTGGCAGCGTAGTGTATATATAATTATAGAGGGAGGTTCAGGGGAAATCCCCCGAGAAAATGAAAAACTGAGGAACACCCTAGTAAAGTTCATCTGGACGATATGCACATGTGCATATAAGTAATTGAAGTTGTTTCTTGGTTTTTATGCACGTGTGCATGTTATGCACATGTGCATACCGGACGAATTGCCTACATATTACTTGTATGCACATGTGCATACCGTCCAGATGAATACCATGGTGTTTCTCATTTTTTCAATTTTTTGCAGTTTTTCCCTGTAACTGTCCCTATAATTTGTGTGTATATATTGTCCAGTGGTAGTGGCAGCCTAGCAGTGTGCCTATATATAGTGCATGATGGTCGTGCCAATATCTATCTATATATATATATATATATATATTGTGTGTGTATATAATGTTTATGTATTCTGTGTTGAGTGATTATTATTTTGTGTATGTATTATTTTGAATTTTATTTAATTTCCGCCTCGAGCTTACGCCTCGGACTGCCTCGAGGCTTATGACTCGCCTTGTGTTTCCGTACTTTAAAAACCTTGATTAATGCGTACATACAATTTCGTAAAGCTCTTTGAACTCCATAAAACTAGCTAATTACTAACTGATTAATGGATTCAAATACAGGAAAATGAGAACTAAAAGAACACTCCATCATTATCTTTATCCAAAAAACACTCATTAAAGCAAAAATAAATTACATCTTCATTTTTAAATTAAAAATATTAAACTATGATAAACTTCTGAAGTGAACAAACTATACCGACAAAATAATAATTTTTTAATCTTCAGTTTGACACCAATATGAAAACATTTTTTGAGGTGTTTTTACCATGTCTTCAAATTAGAAGGACATGCTGAAGCACCACTTGTAAATTCAATTTTATTCAAACATAAGTTTTGCCTTCTTTATGAAACTTTACATTAATTTCCTATTCTCAGTTTATGATATAATCTTGCATCCTGCTGCGTTGCACAGGCACACAACTAGATGGTTCTGTTATGTGGCCATTTGTGCTATGTATGTAAGCTTAGTATGGCCCTTGAACCAGCCTTACTATAATTCATTCTTGTTTGAATTATATGTAAGCTTAGACTACTTCTACATGTAGTATCTTTTCCTAGGGAATATGTCTACTGAACAGCATATGCCAATTGACAAGAAAAAGTTATTTTACTTGTACTTAAAATCATGATTCAAGTTGGATTACTTTTTGTGTAATTGCTGTCTGAGTTAATGTTATTGATAAACTTGAAAATTGAGGTTTTAGGTTGATTTTCATACATCTTATGATGCACACTAAAAAACGTTTTATCCTAAACTAGTTGAGGACGATAGAAATTATGGAAACATGGAAACCCAATAGAGATCTTTTCCTATGTCAGTACTGGGCTGATAAAGCACAAAAAACAGAAAAAGCCACTCCCTGGTACACAGATAAACGCAGAAACAAATAGAACAAGATTAACAACTGCTTGTAAGGACCTAAGAATCATGGAAATTTTTTAAAAGAAAATTCTTTTGCGGAATGCTATTTTGATGGGGGATCTCTTGCTTATCTTCTTACAGCATGGTGTGTAATTTGATGTTTTACCTTAATGAAATATATTTTAAGATCTACTAAAAAATTGCTAAATTGGTTTATGGTTTTGTTTGTATCTGCCTTTCTCAGGTGCCTTCTGAGCCGCAAAAGCCACATGGGGGCGGAAACCAGAATTCTTCCTCTAGGTACCCGACACGCCAACACAAAGTGGCCTCAAAGCACAACCCAAACGCTGTACCATCCTTTCATGGACCATTACCCTACCATCAACCAGCAATTCCAGCTGTTTATAGCGGCATGGCACCTTGGCCCCCACATATTCCTGTCTGTGGATATGCTTACCAGCCTGCTGCTGGATCGTTTTCTCCAGCAGATGGAACCATTACAGCTCCACCACGAGGCAATCCTAATACTTATGCTGTTGAATTTTCTAATAGAAGACCTAATGTTCAAGAAAACGGAGACCATTTTAATCCTGGAAGGCAAAACCAGAGACCATTAGGTTTGAAAGAGAACAGTGATCTGCAGCAAAATGCTGGGCCAAGAGCCTTCATAAGGCCCCCCTTTTTTGGTCCACCTGCAGGATTTATAAGTGGACCTACCTTTCCTGGTAATTGTTTACTTTTAATGTGCCGTAGTGAAAATGTGTTAAGAGTCTATTCCTTGGAATGTTTATTTTGTTGACTTTTTTATAAAATAGGTTGTTACAGGACCACGTGACACCAAAAGTGTCCCAGTGGATGATCTACTTCATACAAAAGAAAAAGTTACAAGTGAAAGGTTAAAAATGTTGTAGGCAAATAGAAACTAGTTCTTTTGTGATAATTTCACATTTTTGATCTCTTACTTTTCCTTGATAGCTACGATGGGCCATACCTCTCTAATCTCTATATTTAGCTTATTTATTCTTCTTATATTCCCAACTTGATTTTCTTCCCATTTGTGATCTTTGGCTTCTTTTTGATAATGATTTGGCCACGATACCATTTGGTCAGGTCCTCCTGGTTCTATTGTCTATCTTCCTGCCCTACCTCCGTTTTCTGTTAGGGGACCACATCCACCCTTTATTGTTCCGCATCCGTCGAGCCCTGGGATTCCTGTGTTACCTTCACAGACACAAGCCCTGAGAGCTAATATCACAAAGCAAATTGAATACTATTTCAGGTGAGTAATTTGGTAATGTCCTTGTCATTTGTCTTTACCTTTTCTTGGCAAAAGCATAATTTTGTTCTAATGTATTATACTTGTCTTTACTACATTAATGTTGTGTGTAATATTGTATTATGATGCAAAGCAACATAGATATGTAGACTTCAATTGTATATGGAAAAGTTTTGAACTAATGCAACCTGCCTTTAAAGGTACTTATTATTGATCACAAGCTTTGTTAATTTGACAAAGAGATCATCATAGCAGTCAAGAGACATGCCTATGGCATGATGACTATGTGGTGCTGTGCCTCGTTATATATATATATATATATATATATATTGCTATATTAGAGTAAGATGACAAGTACCCTAGCTGTGATGCATGGACCCACATCCCACGATGCAGTGTGCAAACTTTAATACAAACGTCTTGTTTGTTTTGTTTTGTTTTGGCCTCTTTTTTTCTTTCTTTTTGAAGGCTTTGTGGGACTTCTATCCAAATTAATATCAATATAATAATACATAAAACCGTCTAGCTTTAGGGCTTTAGACTCATCACTTTAACACCTAGCTATAGTTTGGATTACATTTTCTTTCACAAATTAACTTCTTTGCTTTTGCTATTGTTTATTGATGTGTTCTTGTATGCTTTCTTTACCTGTGGTCTTGATTAATGTCTTGTCTTAGTTTACCCAGAAAAGTTCAATTAATCTTGTCCTCTATCTGTTTTTGTTTTTCAATATATTATCCCCACAATGCATTTATTTTTCTTATTATTACCACTTTTTGGGTTTCTGCATATTAGTAATTAGATTTGATGAAGTAAATGTTACTTATTTAGTATAAATGTTTTTTTATGAATAAGAAATCGTCGTCTCTATTTTATATAACAAAAGTAAACAGAAAATGACCATCCCACAATTCATGTTTTGCTAAATACCAATGTTATTGTTGTCTTTGCATCAAAGAATAGTACTTATCTAAGTTTAGTTATTCATACAGAAATAGATATATTATGATTGAATGTGATACATTTCATTTGTTTTTTCTAAATTTTGTTTTTGGCTTGGAAAATGCATGTGTTGTGCTGCATGCCATTGCTTATTTTCCAGTTTGTGCCACATGCCATGACTGCGATAATGAAGACCTTAGGGCTGGTTGGTTGGTTTCCATTAAGTCCTATATTGGTAAAGTTGTTTGTGTGGATAAAGTTGTTTGCGTGGATTAATTTATCTACATAGATAGGGTTTTTTTCATAGATATAAGAAGCATGTTTTTTTTATTTGGAGGGGCAGGTTTGGGAAAAACTTGGCTTTCTGCATTAAGCCACTATCAAACAGTCATGTATAGCTTACTGAATAAGCTGTGATTCCTATTAAGCTCATTAAGCTGCTGACAAACAATCTACTTTATTCTAGTAGTGAGGCCTAAGATATCCTTAATTTTAGAAATACTAGTGTAGAAGATATATATATATATATATATATATATATATATAGAGAGAGAGAGAGAGAGAGAGAGTTAGGCTCATACGAGAACAGTAACCAAATAAGAGAATAAAAAACGGTCGAATCACATGTGATTTTACACTATAATCACGTGTAAAATCACATGACCATTAGTGTAAAATCACATGTGATTTTTCATGTTCTCTTATTTGGTTACTGTTCTCGTTTGAACCTCCCTCTATATATATATATATATATCTGTATAACTACTGATATGATTACCCAGCTTACATGAATTTCAATAGAGGTGAATAATAAAGTTACAGGAGTAGTTAAAATAAAGATTGGTTAATAGGGAAAATAGAAGCTGATTAGTTAAGCCAATAGCAGTAACATACCAAAGATAGACCAAAAGATCAGTGAAGTAAAACGAAAATGAAAAATCAAGAATATTTGTTATAGGAGATCAAGAGATAAATAAGGGAAGAACATATAGGTGAAATAGTTGCATAGAACAAAAACAGGCAAACTGGAGTGTGGGATGGATAAAAACAAGTGGATATTTACCAATGACATAAACAAAAAAATTGGAAAATGAGTTTCAAACTTAAAGGTAAAATATGGAGAGAAACAGGAAACCGGGAAGACAGTTATTTTGTGTTTCTTTCTTTCTTTTTACTATGCTTTTACAGATGTGTGTAGCTTATGGTGTTTATTATGAATTCCAGTATTTTCCACGTGATTCCATGATGCATAAGGTCATTGCTATGCCACCTTTTTCACAGGCATAAAAAACGTTAAAACAACTAGTTGCAGCACTAGGTGGAATTGCCCCAACATAGCTCCTATGATTTGATATTCCATCCATCCAAAATAAATGCAATGTTTGACCCGATTCATAGTTCAGTGGAAGTGTTTGACTGTTAATTAAAATATCTAAATTGCTGCTTGATGATATAGAAAAAGTAGAGAAAAATCATGAACTATAATTGATGCTACCAATATTTTGTAGAAGTTACTAATGGGTAAGAAGGCAATCTGGGTTTGAGACCTTGCTGAAAAGGAAATGTTGCATTTATTTTGGACATCTTAAAATGGAAGTTCTAGCTTTTGGGAAGGAAGGAGTATGGCCTAGGGATCAAAACACTGGGTCTGTTCAAGAGGCATCTCTTGGAGTGGAAATAGTAGTGATAATCGATAAAATTTCATGAAAACTGGAGGGTAAAATGTTGCCATCATATCTAATTGTAATTCTTCTTGGTTTTGATAGTGATCAGAATCTACAGAGTGATCAATACTTGCTTTCCTTGATGGATGCCCATGGATGGGTTCCAATATCTACTATTGCCGACTTTAAAAGGGTATGTTTTTTTATTAATTGTGCACATCACATTTGAAATATGTTCACCTACAATCCTACATTTCGAAGGAATTTTCATTAATTTCTGTGTCATGACTCCTTAATGAACCTGACAGACCAATGTGTCAAGAACTGATTATGTTTCTTTAAATGGTTAGAACTAGTATGAAGTGATGTTATTTGTACATAATGTGGTGCAGGTTAAAAGGATGAGTAAAGATATACCGTTTATCGTGGATGCCTTACAGAGTTCTAGCACTCTTGAAGTGCAGGTTTGACATCTTAAATACCTTTTAGCATATTCCCAATCCCTGGGTTCCTTTTAGAAGATGGCACACAACTTATTTTACTGATATTTTTCTGTTAATTCATGCTTCTCTGGTGAAAAAGACTCCACCTAGCTTTCTTGCCACGTTGTTTAATTATGACCCTTTGGTAATTCGTGCCAATTTTTATTGATTCATTCTAGTAATTTATATGATGCAATGATACATAAATTGAAGTTTAACTCAACAGTTGGCTATTACTTCCAGATCAAATGAACATAAGCTTCTCATTTGTTGTTGTGACCACATTGTAATAGAGCGGAGAACTTCCTTATATATATGGTTTCTTGTTCATAGTTCTGATCTATACTTTTTACCAAATGACATACTTAGGCATGCTTACTATATTTGTTGATCTCAAGATGTTCCCATATTTCCCCACTTTAAAGTGACTAATATTTGAGAGCTCCAGAAACTATTATACCGGAACCACTGGTTCATTTTAGATACAATTATCATTGATCCTATTTTTTTTTCTAGATATGATTACTGAATCCTTTAGATCTTGCTTTTTCTCCCTTCCAACTCCCCCCTTTCTATCCACAAACCTCTCATACATCAAGAACATTAGGAGAGCATGGTGGCAATTACAATAAATGGAAGCAGGAGATGCATTTGCTGTTGGTCTCTTTTTTATTAGCTAGACTTAGTTTGCAATCAAATGTTTGTGGTTATGTTCTTGTTATATGTGCTCCACATGTTGGCATGCACACACATATACAAGGTCAAGGGTGTGGGAGGGGTTGAGTGGTCAGTTGATACTTGTTGAAGAGTGGGAGAATCAATGCATATATGTAGAATTCTGATAAGACATGTTGGTGAACTTATGATGAAGAAGGTTAAACAATGTGCATCCAAAAGGTGGAAAGTAGGAAAAATCTCAACAAAATTTGTTCTCAGACTGTGTCACCAAATCAAGCTACAACTCTCTTAGGCTACATAGGACAAGACATGACAGGACCAGACAAAACTCACTATCCCACGTTTAGCGCGAAATGGGACAGGGCAAGAACTCACTATCCCGTGTTTGGCACGACATGGGACAGGGACAAGGTGGGACACCGTGGGACAAAAAAGGCTTTTTCTTGTTCCACCAAAATTAGGTGGAACAAGATGAGATAAGAACGAGATGGAAACTAAAATATTACTAATTAACCCTCGTTTGATATGTAACCTTAATATGGTATTTGTTTTAGTGGTCACCACCACTAGTCACGGCGCCACCACCACCGCTAGCCACCGTCGGCCACCTCCACCTCCTCATCCACTACACAACCTCCTCCACCTCCGCAACTACCATTGGCCACCGTCCACCACCACCACCACCACTACCACTGTTGGCCACCTCTACTTCCTCTTCCACTACAACTATCACCGCCTCGGCCATCGTCCATCACCATCACCACCACTACCACTATCTCCACCACATCGGCTACAACTACCACCTCCACCACTGTCGACCGCCTCCACTACCATTGTTGTTTCAACAATCTTCACCGTGCCTTCTCCAATTGATAAGGATCTTCCAAGCCGAATAAAACGTAATTTATCCTTTGTGCGAATCGGATTTTTCGAACTACCATCAATTATATCAAAATTTTCATTCAAAATTTGGTACTATTATATATATATATATATATATATGTATTTATGTGTATGAAAGTTATGTAAAAATGATTATAAATTAAATTATTTAATTCTTTACTTTATTTTGTTAATTATAACTATTATATGATATATAAAATCATCGAATAATTTTTGGGGGCAACTTGTCTAATTTTGTCTTGTCCAGTCCTAGTCGTACCAAACACCAGACACACACTTGTTCTGTCTATTCTTGTCCTGTCGAGTCCTATCCTCTTGTCCTGTCCAGTCCAACCTTGCCTGCGTAACAAACGCTACCTTAGGGGCCAATATGATAGATATGGGTGCTAGTTAAGGTCTCATTCATATTTGGATTCCTTTTCTTTTCATTTTACTATTACTTGTATAGTGGAATGATGAAGAAGATTGTGGTATATGTGCTCGGACAATGGAGGTTTTCACCAATTAATGTCATTTGCTAGCATAGCATCAATAGAATGTCGTCTGCTTTCATTTGAATGTTTTGGTTAGTTTACTGCCAGGTTTCTAATGTATTTATGTACATGAGAGTGAATGATAGATTATGAGATAAACCATTGTGGCTTTTTGCTTTGGATAGTCCGAGTGAAATTGCATACACTTAAATATATGTTGTTTGGCTAACTGTTTGGCTGATTTAGCATGACAAACAGAACATGTTTTCCTTATAATTGTCGGGTGTGACTTTAATTCTGGTAGACAACTGGTTGCTAGTTCTGTTAGTCTGTTATTTCTTTCATATTAGCCTATAAATAAGTGGGGGCTAATCATTTGTAATCTCTGTTCATTTTTCATCTAATAAAATTATCTGCCTCACGCATCCAAATTCACTAAGAGATTTCCAGTAATTTCTAACAAATTGGTATCAGAGTGTGGTGATCAAAGACGCTTTTGTTGGTTCTGGATCTTTTTTCGGTTATGGATTCTGCAATTGATCAAGACTGCTTCTGCGATTGATCAAGTCGATCTGTGTTTTGAAATTGCTTCTTCCGATTGCAATCTTGGCAATCAATTGCGTCAATCTTGAAGTCCAATTCAAGGCAGCAGGATTCAAGGTGGAGCGACGATTGAAATTGGTGATCAATTGGCTTTCTAGGAATTGAAATTGGTGATCGATTGAGTACCGGCTTCTTAAAATTGATGATCGATTAGGAAGCGTATCAGAAATTGATGATCGTTTGGAGGCTCTCCATTGAAATTGGCGATCTATTGGAGTCTCACAATTGAAATTGGTGATCGATTGGTGACAGGCGACTGTAACTAGGTGATCAATTGGCGACTAGTGTTTGATTCTAGGTGGAGGGCGACTGGAATTGGTCATTCTTTGGTGATCGAAAGCACCTGTCTCGGTTTAATCAAGATTTTGGTGATGCCTCCACAAATGATCAAGATTGACAAGTTTACTAGGAAGAATAATTTCAGCTTTTGGAGAATCAAGATGAGAGCTCTCCTAAAACAACAAGGAATTTGGACTCCCTTGGCTGCATATATGGCTGATGCTGAGTTTAATCAACAAGATGAGAAGGCTCACAACACCATCTTGTTGTCCTTGGCCGATGAAGTGATTTACGAGGTCGCAGATGAGGAGACTGCCTCATCTCTATGGATGAAACTTGAAAGTCTCTACATGACAAAGTCTTTAACAAACAAGTTGTTAAAGCAAAGGTTATTTTCTCTCCAAATGGAGGGAATGCCATTGAAGGACCATCTTGACGAGTTAAACTCCATTCTTATGGATTTAAAGAATGTTGAGGTCAAGGTTGAAGATGAGGATGCTGCTCTCATCCTATTGGTCTCATTGCCACCCTCATACGAAAGTTTTGTCAACTCATTTGTAGTTGGAGGGGGAAACAATTACTTTGGAAGAAGTTCGATCAAGTTTGCATTAACGAGAATACGCCATAAAGCTTTCAGAAATGGAACAGAAAGCCAATTTGTTGGCTTGTCAGTGGTAAATGAAGGTAGAGAAAAGGGTCGAGAGAGAGCTAAAGGCAAATGGAAAGGAAGAAGTCGATCAAGATCTAAGGGTTGAGGGTCGAAAGCTAGCCCGAAAGATGTATGTCACCGGTGTGGTGATCTTGGACATTGGAAAAATGAATGTCCGAAACGAAAAGAGAAGGCATCCGCTGCTGTTGGTAAAGATGATTCGGGTTCAGAGGCTTATATGGTTCTCTCAGTAGGTGACTCTAAAAGTCAGCAAGATGAGTGGATTCTTGACTCCGGGTGTTCGTTTCACATGGCACCGAATAAGGCCCAGTTTGATACTTATGAAAAGATTGCAACAGGAAGTGTTTTAACGGGACCGACAATTCCGTGTAATGTTGCTGTAATAGGTTCGGTAAGTGTCAAAATGCACGACGGGGTAGTGAGAACTTTGGCTAATGTTCGTCATGTACCTGATTTGAAAAAGAATTTGGTTTCTTTGGGAGGTTTGGATTCCAAAGGTTTCAAGTACAGTTGTGAAAAAGGAGTACTAAAGGTGCATTAGTGGTGATGAAAGGAGTCAAGAAAGGTACCTTGTATGTGCTCGAAGGCAACAAGGTTGTTGGGTCAGCATAGCCAGCCTTTAGTTATGATAAAAACGAGTCAGATTTGACACTCTTGTGGCATATGAGGCTGGGGCATGTTAATGAGAAAGGCATGCTCATGCTCAGCAAGCAAGGACTTCTTGGAGGGCATAAAGTTGCTGAACTAGGCTTTTGTGAGCATTGTATCTTTGGAAAACAAAGGAGGGTGAGTTTTTCAAAGGCTGTCCATAATACCAAGTCTACTTTGGACTATCTACATGCTGATTGTTGGGGTCCTTCACAGGTCCCATCTCTTGGTGGTGGCCGTTATTTCCTCTCAGGTTTTGACGATTACTCTAGGATGACTTGGGTGTTTATCACAAAACATAAGAGTGAGTCATTTGAGAAGTTCAAAGAATGGAAGGTTCTCATTGAAAATAAAGTTGGGAAGAAGATAAAAAGGTTGCGAACTGATAACGGTTTGGAATTTTGTTCAAATGAGTTTGTTCGGTTTTGTAAAGATGAAGGAATTGCAAGGCACTGAACGGTTAGGCACTCCACAACAAAATGAGTGGCCGAAAGGATGAATAGAACGCTGCTAGAAAGGGTCAGGTGTGTGCTGTCAAATGGAGGGTTGTCGAGAGGTTTTTGGGCTGAGGCGTTAAACACGGTTTGTTACTTGGTAAATAGGTCTCCGGCAACAACAATTGGTTGTAAAACCCCTATTGAAATGTGGTCCGAAAAGCCACCTGATTACATGAATTATGGGTGTTTGGTTGTCCTTCATACTACCATGTGAGTGAAGGGAAGTTGGAA